CCGCACTCCAGTCTGGGCGACAGAGTGAGACTCCAACTAAAAAAAAAAAAAAAGAGACCTTTGACTGGCCTAGATCAACAAGAGACATCTGGCAAATCATCCCCCGTGAGACTTGACTTCTCTACACACACTCCATGAAGCCTCTGGCCCAAAGCATGATCCTGGGAATCTTCTTGTTTTGCATAAGGGCACTTGCCTCCAAAAAAGGTGCTACTAAAGCCAGGAGTTGATCTGCGGTCCTTACTGTGCTCCTTTCAACAAAAGCTCTCCTGTGTCCTGCTCTGGCAGCCCCAAGAGCCTCCCACTAAGACTTGTAAATATCTTATCCAGCATCAGTAAAAACATTTTCTTCCTGTAACAAAGAAGGTACAAAATGGAATCCTGGCTCTACTCTTTCAACAGCACGTGCTCCCCTCGCTCGATTGCTGAGCTTCTGTTTCATGTTCTATCTCCACATCTAAATCCTCCAAGAATTATTGTAAAACCTGCTTGTCGCTGAGAGGGAGCTTGTCTCGCTCCCTTGGCACTGTAGCCAGTGATAATGAATGGGTCAGCATAATTACCGTGTTTCCTCACACAGGCCGCCAGCTGCTCTGCCAGATTGTGAATTTTTCATTTTCTTTATTTCAAAATCCAGGGTATTCCTATGAAAACTTAATATTTGAACTGTGGCAAGACAGATTTGGAGTCAAAGCCATACCCATTCATTCTCTCCCCAGTCCTGAAGCAACTGACTCATATCTCATGACTTCTGGGTTTTTATGATATTAGGACCTGCTTTCTCCATGAAGACCCACACATTGTGCGATTCAAGCGAGTGCATTGAAATGCAATCCAGGAAACTCTGGTGCTAGGGACTGGCAAGGGAGTTCAATAAAGCTGCATGATTTGTCTTTAACAACTAAAAAAAAAAGTTAAAAATAACCTTTGTGGTCTTCCCAGATACAAATGGAAAGATAGAACCATCTGGAATTGGTTCTACAATCCTTGCCTTCTACCCTCATTGTAAGAGAACGATATGGTGAAATTTGTAAAACAGCATGACTGCTGGATGGTCAAGAACACATGCATAATTCCAGATATTAGCCAGTTGGTCTTCACTGCAGGGTCAAGGGATTTCTTCTATCTAGCCCATGCAATTTCATAAAGAATTCGGAATGGCTTCCGTGGGGGACCCCACCCACTCCCCACCACGTAGGTACAAACATACCCTGTCCATGGTGTGGTTGCAGTTTTTAGACCTCCAGGGTCACTGCATGGCCACTTCCAATCTCCAGTGACTCCACCGTGGTCTCTCATGCACACTTTCCCCCCACTTCCGACATCACATTTTTTTTTTTTGCCTTTTCGCTCCTTTCACAACTCCTACCTGAGTCCATGCATGGAAAGGACTCTGTGTGCATGGACAGGACTCAGGGAGTAATGGAAGACATGACGTGGTATACTTCTCCTCCTGAAGGGGATGGTATAAGGGGGCAGAGCCCCTCTTGGTGGTTTTGGTATAGGATGGAGGCAACTTTAACACGATATGAGTTGCAATAACCCGTGAGAGGTTAGGTGTCTGCAGAAGCCTGTAAAAAGGAGTCTGGGTGTGCTGATTTACCATGTTTGAGAGCTTCCTTCTCTGCAGGTTATCTGATCTTTTACTATGGCTCTCCTGGGACAGTGGCTTCCCAAATGCATTCTTTCAGAAAAGCTCCCTCCATGTGGTGTAGTCTGGGAAACACCGCCTGCTGCTTAGTTGAGATGGGCAAGCACGGTCAGTATGGTGAGAGCACTGCGGGTCAGAGAAGGGATTGGAGCTTGAAGGCAAAGGTGGTTTCCTGGCTCCATGGACCCTGATGAGTTACGATTTGCATGCCAGGGGAGGAGAGACATCCCAGGCAGAGGCCACAGAATGAATTATCAGGGGTTTCAGGGAATTATTAATTCTGCTCTAGACCCCTTATATCACCATCCTACTCAGAGAATTATCCCCCAGGGAAGAAATCCCTGCCCACATTTTCTCTTTGAGAGTTGACTTTGAAAACTTCTCTACAGTTTTTGTAATGATGGTGGTTGTGTTTGCTTCTTAAAACTGCTTAGGAGGTTAGGGGTTAGGGGACACTGGTGATGGGCTGTGTCTCAGGGCATGCATGATTTGTACACTGTGACACACACACGTGTCTGTGGGAATATCTCAAAAGTTTTAACAAGCAATATAGGTACATAAAGGGATATACGGAAAATAAAAATGGAGTAGGGGAAAAGCTATGAGTAAAAAACCAACACTCATGCAGTTTAGCCCCAGAGATACTAGAAAGACAAGTATGTGGAAATATGTGTGTATACATATGTACAGATATGCACATATATGCATATGTGCATAGGTATAAATATGTATATATGTATAGATATAAACATGCATATCAGGGGTGCCCAAAAATGTATACACTTATTTTTTTTTTTTTTGAGTCGGAGTCTCACTCTCACCCAGGCTGGAGTGCAGTGGCACACTCGGCCACCACAACCTTGACCTGCTGGGCTTAAGCAATCCTTCCACCTCAGCCTTCCAAGTAGCCACAGGCATACATCACCATGCCTGGCTAATTTTTGGATTTATTGTAGAGACAACGTCTCCCCAAGTTACTCAGGCTGGTCTTGAACCCCTGGACTCAGGCAATCCTCTCATCTCTACCTCCCAAAGTGCTAGGATTGCAGATGTGAACCACAGTGCCTGGCTATTTATACGCATTTTAAGAGATGATTGCTGTAATCCAAATGTCTAGTAACCACTTTGAACACCTCTTCTAATTGCAGAAATCAAATGTGACTTGTATTCGTCTTATTGAGTATTACAATTATAATATAGGGTCTTTCCTTTCTTAAAATGTGTATATATATTTTTGGCACCTTCTGTATATTCAGATGCATGTCCACGTACGCACATGCATACACACATTATATTGTGCACTCATGCACATATATATGTACGCATATGTGTATATATAGTGTACACATATGTATACATAGTGATTGAGAGCACATTGCACATACATCTTGCAGTCTACCCTTTTTAGAATTTTTTTCCGTGCAGTGTTTCTCCTGTTATTTACCTTGTTCTCCTGGGCAGAGGGGCCGCCGTCTAAGGAGCCCAACCTCTGGGGAGTCCACCTTGGCCTCTGTGCTGCCGCCTGCTTTTTGCCTCGTTCTTTTTTTTTTTTTTTTTTGAGTTGGAGTCTCACTCTGTCGCCCAGACTGGAGTGCAGTGGCCGCTCCCGGCCACCGCAGCCTCGACCTGCTGGGCTCCAGCGATCCTTCCGCCCCAGCCTTCCAAGTCGCTGGAACTACAGACGTGCGCTACCACGCCCGGCTAATTTTTTGATTTATTGTAGAGATGAGGTCTCGCCAAGTTGCGCAGGTGGGTCTCGCACCCGCGGGCCCAAGCAATCCACTCACCTCAGCCTCCCAAAGCGCGGGATTACAGGCTGAGCCACCAAGCCTCCTGACTCCTGGAAGAGGGGCGGGGTCCTGCTTGGCCCTGCAGGGACGAGGGTCCCGGGGCGGTTCCCTCCACAGCAGGGTGCGCCGTCTGATGGCTTCTCCTCTGCTCTCTCCTCTCCCCACCCACAGTGCCCGGCTTCCCGTATCCAGCCGCCACCGCCGCGGCCGCCTACCGAGGGGCGCATCTCCGAGGCCGCGGCCGCACCGTGTACAACACCTTCAGGGCCGCCGCGCCCCCGCCCCCGATCCCGGCCTACGGCGGGTAAGTGGGGCAGCCTCCCGGGCGGGCCTCCCTGCACAGCCTTCCCCCGCTCCTACCCCCCTCCAGAGGCACGGAGCTGTTTGCGAGAGCATGATGTCTTGACTCCCCCACCAGAACCGCCCCAGCATGCAGCCCGGCGCGCGCCTGTGGTGGAGCACCTTGCAAAGAGTATTGAAAAATGAGTGTAATTTGTCCTGTCATGGTTGGTGCCTTTAAGCATTCTACATGTCACATGTTGTTATGTAAATTTTCTTTGAGACTGAATGCTGGAGAACAGAGAAGTGGTTACAGCCAGAGATGTATTTCTGATGATTGCAAACATCTGGTTATTAAGGAGGTTGGACCACATTTGTCCCTTGAATTCCTCCACGGAGGGTCACGGGACTTTCATACATAAAAATCACTGGGGTGGTCTGGTTCCCCTCCCCAGAGATATCTTGCACTTCAAGGTTTATGAACCTTTGCCTGAGAAGAGAAAATTAGGTGTTGGGTCGAATGCAAAAATACAAGAATTAATGAAATTGGAGTTAAGATGCATTTTAGTTGGAGTTTCCAAAATGGCGTTTGTCTTTCTTTGTCCTCTGTGGGGAAAATGCAAATTTGTTTGTTTCCCACTGCGGGTTTGGTCCTTCTGTGCATGTACTTCAGTATGGCCACGTGAATATCAAGGAACGGTGGAGTGCTCACCAACAACAACAAAAAGTGGTACTGATATGGTGGGTGGCAGTCCTGAAATGCTGGTTGTTAGAGTTCCTACTAGAATATTCCTGCACACCTGGAGTCAGAGAGAGAGGGGTAAGGAAGTGACCCTAGACCAGGAGATATTTGTAAGATCTAGAGACATTTTCGATTGTCACAGCAGGAATGGAGAGGTGCTGTGCCATCCACTAGATAGAGTCTAGGGGTCCCGCTAACACCTGCAATGCACAGGACAGCCCCCCACAACCAAGAATTATCAAGCTCAAAGTCAGCTGTGCTATGGTTGTGAAATTCTGCTCTATGATAAATTCAACTATAACTCAAAGGAGTCTGGCATGAGGCTTCCCTGTCCAGTGACCAGCTTTCTGGTCTGTAGGAAAATGATGGCTGCATTTAGGACTGTGTGAAAAGGGTTAAGTGCTACACACACACACACACACACACACACACACACACACATACACACACACACACATGCATATATATACATATATAAAACTGTTACTTGTAAATCATTTAAAAAATCTGAATTAGCTTAGATCATCTGTTCTACTCATGACAAAGGGAAACGCTATTTTTGTTGTTGTTTATTTTTTTTCATTTTCTATTCAAATCTCACCCATTCCAATTTAGAGCATTTGAAGCACTTCAAAAACAAAAATAAATACAATAAAACAAAGTTCAGAATATAAGGAAGGAAACTAAGTGAAATAATCATGAAGGGAAAATTAAAGCACAAAAATAGGACAATGTCCACCAAGTTTCTTGTGTAGGCAACCTAACTGAGTCAACTCTGAGTTTCTTAGTGCACAAAACATCAGATATATATACTTAATCGAAAAGACAGTGGATAGTAATAATCAAGGATGAACTGGCTATTAATCCTCCCTAGTCCCCCTAGACTGTATCTGCATGTCCTAAGCCTTATATATGATCTTGTGATAGAAAGTATCATTGACAGTATCATTTTTATCTCTACTCTCATAGAATTGAGCACATTGTAGAGATCCAAAATTAAAGATTTGCTATTCCCACGGTCACATCATGAGTTACGAAGGAGAAAAAAAGTTACTTTCTGGGCTCATGTAATCACTAAAGTAAGATTAATAAACTACAAGTGCCGAATTGCACATTTATGACATTAATTTGTCTGAAAATTATATTCTCAGTACGTGGTAATTGTTGCTCTTTGGTATATGTACTATCAGTATCTCACTGCTATGTTAAACAGAAAAAAATAAAATTATATGGCTTATCTTCACACAAACAATTTGTAAAAATCTCAGAATAGCACACCTACTATAAAATTGAGATTTACTAAATTGTAATGAACATGCTCTCTTTTGGGAACAATCACGCATAATTAATTAACACCATGTTTTTCAGAGAGAGACTCAGGCATTTCCAAATAGTGAAACAATGCATTTGCGACTACTTCAGATGGAAATTAATTTTAATATTTGAGCAATATTCATAATCATTTTGGTTATAATGGTGAATTGTGCCTTTCTGCTGACAATATTATGACTGGAATTCTGAAACCATACTTAGAAGTAGGATAGAATTCTCAACAGAGGAGTGGTAGGAATGTCAGAAGGACTAGGACTGGGGATGTCCCTGTCCAGGAATCTATAAGAGCAGAGTGCTAGTGGCAAAGAAGGAAATTCAGCTACTTGCCTGAGTGTTTCATTGGTTTACAAGCTGCCTGGAGTGAATTGTCATTGAAAAACCTTAGACCCAGCATCTTAAACAAAGTTTTTCTTTTTCCTCTGGATTGTTTGGCTGAGACTGCAGGAGATGGCAGGGGCCAGCTCCTCTTGGAAGGGCAGAGAACAGAGTGATGCATGGATCAGTGATTGGCTGTAGGAGAGAGGACCCTGATCTTGTGTTGAATAGAAGCAAGTAGCAAAGAGGTTAGAAATTTCCAAAAAGTAACATCATCACGATTCAGGTAGTCCAGAGATCCTGTGGATTCTTGTAACCTTTAGTTTCCAAAGTCCTTTGGAAGAAGATTTCAGCATTTCATTCACATCTTTACTCTAACCTAGTTCAACTGATCACCCCATGACTCACAGCTATCGTGCTTCAGGCACTGTTGCGCCCTAAAGATACAGAGAAAAATGGCACCTTTAGAGGAATTTCCTTCAGTCGGGGCAGGGGACGACATACAAGCTAACAATTTCAATAAATGTGATAAGTGATAAGGTAAGGTGTTGTGTGAGCACCAAGAAAAGGTCCTCAGTTCAGCTTGGGTGTTTAGAAAAGACTCTCAAAAGAGAAGAAATATGGGATACATTTCAGTCTCATCATTTTCCAAGTTGTCATGTCAAGATCTTATTCTGTGATTCTCCCCTATACCCAGTGATCCCATCTTCTTTCAGATGACACCTAGCAAACTGCATTTATTAAGCAAGAGTTTATTTTCCCCATTGTCACCAACCAAAGACATATCTAACTTCCAACCTAAACCTCTGTACTTCTTGAAGTACCTGATATGAATCTATGTTGTTTCTAAAATACCAACCAAAGATGTGTCATTTATCCTGGGTCTATGTGTGGCTTCCATATTGTTTCTCTTCCTGGGAGATTGAAAAAAAGTATCTCTTTAAAATGAAATACTGAGCTGGGCTCGGTGGCTCAGCCTGTAATCCCGCGCCTTTGGGAGGCTGAGGTGAGTGGATTGCCTGAGCCCCCGGGTTTGAGACCCGCCTGGGCAACGAGACCTCATCTCTACAATAAATCAAAAAATCAGCCAAGTGTGGTAGCGCGCGCCTGTAATTCCGGCTACTCGGAAGGCTGAGGTGGAAGGATCGCCAGAGTCCAGCAGGTTGAGGCTGTGGTAGCTGGGAGTGGCCACTGCACTCCAGTCTGGGCGACTGAGTGAGACTCCAACTCAAAAAAAAAATAAAAAAATAAAATGAAATACTAAAAAAAGAAGAAGAAGAAGAAGAAAAATGTCCCGTAGAACCTTCAATGTTACCTTAGTAGAATCTTGGGTGATCCTTGGAGGTCTCCAACATAAAGATAATCACTAAGGATGCCCTTCCATCCATCCATTTTCTTTTATTAATGTGGATTTTTTCTTCCATGTTTTGATATTTTCTGAAATCCCTCCAAGCAGCCGAAGAGCATAGGTTATAAAAAAAACCTCTATTCTCTTTTCTCTCACAAATTGAAATAGAAACCTCTTGGGACCTTGATTCATGACCATTCCTCCCGGGGCAGGGATCTGCCTTGGAAGGTTCATGGAAACAATGAGGAAATGCTAGGCTGAGCCAGCCAACTCCTTATTGATTGCCAATGTCAACTAAATGAGTCTGAGTGATGAGTTAGAAAGTAGTGTCTACACAGTTTAAAGAACTTTTATAGTCCTAGGAAGACACAGGCTTTGGGGCAGATTAGACTGGGGCCCATTATTCTATCTAATACTACCATGTGTAGCTTACCTAACCTCTGCAGACACAGTTTTCTTAACAAGAGAATGAAGAAAGGATAGAGGGTGAAATAGGGAGATCTAAGTAAGGTGACAACTTAGCAAGTTCCATCATATGACACATGTTCAGTGCACTGTAGTCTCTGTTGTTGCAGTTGATATAGTTATTGGCTTCTTATTAGCTGCTCATACTCTTCTTATTAACGTTCACTTTTTCTTGTGGTGAGTACACAAGCAATCCTATGTCTCTCCCTCTACTCATTACTTACCTTCTTTGTTAAGGGGCATCTGCAGTTCTCAGACCTCTATTTCACCCAAGCCACAGAAATGATCTTGGATGAAGGCACTTCAATTGTTTATGGAATATATAGACTGTAAATAAAATACTAGTGGAGGGTCTCAGAGAGAGAGCAGAGTGGATGAGGTTTTCCATGTCAATTTTGATGGAGGAGCCAAAATGCCTGGTCTAGCTTCCTATGAATTACATTTGGGAGGAATTACCCATTGGGGAAAACTGTTCAAGGGAGCTCACAGGCTGATGATCTGCAGATCAGATGGCAGATGGAAGCATTGGAGACACACTCACTAGTCTCAGTACATCCAATGTTAGAAAACAGCAGCTAAATCCTAGTCCTCTTCCAGAAGAATCCAGTGAGATTTGCCTCATCAAATCCTTGCTCTTAATTAATTAGTTAATTCATTATTAAACAGCTATTTATCAAGCACCTACTATGTACCATGCATATTGCATGGGAGTGCAATAGGGTGTTCTAATGGAGCACTATGGTTTTGTTTTGTTTAATACTAAGTCTAAGCATTCAGCATCAGCTGTAGGGTTTTGGTCTTGGTTCTCTGGGTATCTTTGAGC